TTATCCTGTCCCGCGTTTAGCTAAGCTAAATCAAAAAAAAAAAATGGAAAAACACAAGCTGCCAGCTTGCTAATATACCAACGGAAATGCTGACCAGCTTCGCCCCTCTTTTACAGGTAGCAACCTCGCTTACACATATTTTATCTCATTTATTTCTGGTAATTTACTTTGATTCATCGATTTTGTAATATATACGTGGCGTGGGTTGGCCAAAGGCGAGTTGGGGAACCACGTTTTTATTACACTATCTGCGGGTAGTATGAGCTTTTACGATCTTTGTTATGCGCTGGGTAGAATCGTGTTTACACCAAAATGGCCTTAAAGTTTTGGAGGAAACGTACGAGGTAGTAAAACTTTAAATTCTTTGAAATTGGCTTTTTAATTTCCTTGTAAATTGACAGAGCTAACGAGTAAAACGTAGTAGATATAAGTTATTCAGCTGCTTTAAGTAAATAAATAAATGGTTAGCAACCATGACTGTATTTATCAAAAATACCAGGCTATCATTCATGTTTTTCCTATTTAAAGTTATATATTACTGGTGCTTCGTTAAGGGTATTAAAATTCACTTCATCATCCGCTGGCGAATTTCTTTCTATAATATATCAATTGGCTGTTGTATTTCTTTTGGCCTAGGCAATGCATCAAAATGTTTCTTTCCTTTCGACACGTTTTTTTGTGTATCTGCTGTGTCGAAATCTGATTGAGTTATTGAGCTAAAATTTCCCAGAGCTTTCAGCTATTGTTGTTGCTCGCAATTGTGCACATCACAATCGTAATAATAATCGTATATTTTTATGCGGCAGATAGAAGACCCGAGTCCATAAAAAGCCAACACTGGATTAGGTTTTATTCGCAGCAGAAAGGCTTTAATGCGATTTGTGCACATTAATCATAGGCCATGATGCACAGTATACGTACCAAAAAAACCAATAACAAGGATTTATACTAATATTTATTTCTGGGGGATGTTGGGAAAACTTATGACGGTCATTTGAGATAGAGAAAGTGTGGCAGACAATGAAATCGAATTTCATTAAATTAGCAGTTGGAGCAGCGACCAGAACAAGGACACGACTCTTATTGGATGCTCGTCGAATCAATGACCGAAACAACAACGGGAGCCATTAACAAAAACAAATACGAAATACGAACTTTTCTGGAGGTAAAAACAATCGATAGGGGGCGAATGAACAACAAGAAGAATACTTTTCCCAGAGGGCGATTCATTGACAATTTGCCAGGTTGGACTCTGAAGTTTTTGGCACCTGATTGGGCAGTTCCAGAGAGACATGTGTGGCAGGACCTTTCATCTCCCTGGCTTTATTGTTTGCAATTTGTTTTTAGCTGCCTGAACAGAACTTTTCTTTTATGGCTGGGACACTCCCCCCTTTTTTATTCGCCCAGCCCAGGGGCTAAAAATATCCGAGACGTGCCGCTCTATTTATAGCCCCCATCATATAGCGTCTATAACACTTGGTGGCAACAACAACAAATGCCCATTGACATTTAAGCTGCCACAAATTGCTTTTCTGCGGCACCAACTCCTTGGCTCTTTGGCCACACCTCATCCATGTTTTTTGGGCCTGGTCATGTGTTCCTTTATTTTCAAGCGCATTTACATAACGAAAAATGAAATTTTCAAGTTATAACAAATTGAATTTTCCGAAAGCGTAGCAAACTGCAAAACAAAAACGAAAGGGAAAACCGTCTAAAGAGGATAACCAACAAAGGTAGGCTCACGAAGATGCTTTAAATATTGACATATGCCATAGGCCCACAAGAGCAAAAGTAAAACAGGTGGAAGGCAAAATGTCTAAAGGGATTTACCAAGGATTTTATGGGCCGTATCCAAGAAGTTGACGGCCTAATACAATTATTGGCTAGTTTTGTTAAAGGAATATCAGGTCTTTAACTTAAACTCTTTATCAGATAAGTATTCCGACTTAAATGTATTCCAGACATAAATTTTATTGTCAAAATGTTGTCAATAAATTAGTTCTAGCAGGAGAGATAACATATTTTACTGAAACAAATAAACCTTCTAAATAAAATATGTTTGATTTCACTAAATAAAATACAAAAGACTTTGATTTAAACTCTCTAAAACTGTATCCCTTTAGAAAAGGCGTTATTTTAATATATAAAAGAAAATAAAATTATTGACATCCCAATCAAGTAAAAAATAAATATATATAGTAAATAAAAATACGTGTATCCCAATAAAATGTAGAATAAATGTATAAAGTAATCTCGTATCAATTCTTAAATTAAAACTGAAAAGAACCAGATCTTAAAAACTACTCCCATGGCTGTGTAATTTCAATCTGTTCTGCAGTTCAATGATTCCTCAATCGTCTGTAGTCTGGAGTCCCGAACCAGTTCCAATCGGATGCACTCCGCATCCTTGTGTCCTTGTATCCTTGTAGACCAATCAGTCACCCAGCTACGTGTTCAGCTCAACATGTTGAGGAGGCGACTTGGCATCGCATTCGCGGCACATTGTGTTGTCTTTTGATCGGAAAATGCCATTTCTTTCCCGGCTGTTCGACAGCCTCAACTTTCTGGGCGCAAGGTCCATGTTTTCTTTTTTTGTATTTATGCGTTGATGTTTTACGTGCCCGAAATGCCAAGAACTCTTCCATCCTGGCCATTCAAAATGTATGTGCGAATGTTTGCCTTCCGTATGTGCGATGATTGTACGTGTAAAGTTTATATTGTGTAAATGCTGGCTGGGAAAGTCGGAAAAGTGAAAAGGCAGCGGTGCGAGGTAACTCGGTTAGATGTTGCCAAAAAATGTATGTATGACCCTGGAAAAAGGGTTAGCATGGCAAATGAATTTATGTGGTTTTTTTTGCTGTTTCCTCTTCTGTTTTTTTTTTGGCTTGGGTTACATTCATATTTGTATTCGATTCCATTCGTCAAATGCAGAAAGTGAATTTAGTGTTGGTTGGCTTCTTTTTCCCATTTTCCGATTTCCGATATCCGTTTTCGGTTCTCCGGTTTCGCAACGTTTTCGGTGTTATTAAAGCATGGCAAAATATTGACGCGACCATTAACAAAAGCTTTTAGTGCAAATACAGCTGGCAGTGGCACATGGCCATCGGCGATGGCGATGGCAGCCCCGTATAAGGATGGTCGTCACTTTGACAGTCGTGTCGTTCTGGAGCGTGGCTGCGTTGCACATTTTCATTTGCATTGTTGCCACACTTGATGGCCCAAAAGGCCCCAGGAATGGGGAGAAATGGTCAATGGGCTATCTATTTTAACTGCCCTGCAGGTTGGCTGTCCTGCAGAGCTTCTTTGGCCGTTCCACATTCGTTTTGGCATGTGCAATTGCCTGATGCAACAGCAACATCCACAGCAGCAGCAGCAGCAACAGCAACATCTACACCAGCAACATCCACATCCACAACAGCAACATCATCCCAGGGAACAACAGCAACTCACATTGTTGACGTGCATTTGTGTTTTGTGCCATGCCGGCACTGCCTGTGGCTTTGATTTGACTTTCAGTTGCCAATTCAAAATGCTTCTCGCCAAGGACAAAAGCAGCTTTAAGTCCGAACTCTGACAGTATTGTGATGGGGATATTAAAAGGACATCCAGACAGCTTAGCCAGGCCATAAATATTCACACAGCAAACTCTGTTTAATGCTTGATTTGATTTGGGAAAGTCAATTAAATAACAGACTTATATGGGTCAGCGGGAAATTCAAGTTGCTTAAGCGAATTGCTTGCTTTAAAGTGGCAAAATGCATACAAACACAAATTAATTTAAGGAAAGATACATTTCGAACAGAAAACTAAATACATTTTGACTGGTCGAATTGTCTTTCAGGCTTTAAGGGACGAAAATATTATTTTGATTATAAAATATATCAGTACCTTAATTTTTGAATATTTTATTTAATATTAGTAATAGCTAATTCTTTATTTATTTTATTGTATTTTATATTACGATTTAAAATCCTTTTTTTCACCGATCTGTATATGTATAGCTAAAGATATTAATATTTATTGAAGTTTTAAGGCCCAATGCCAATTCATCATGAATATGAATACATTTATTTAGCCTGCCCTTTCTTCTATAACCATTTGCAGATTGAATGTCCATTTATTTTATTCCATTTTCTCGGAGATTTAATATTGATTCGAAATTGATGATTTAATATTCACCAATTGTTTTAAAGTGCTATGCTGAAAGCATAATGGAATTGAATAAATCCCAATTGTCTGGGAATTTCGTTGAGTATTCGCACAATTTCCCGCATTGAAATCCCGTGCCTTCAGTCAAACGGCCAATCATCGAATCACCGAATTCCAATCTCGCCAATCCCAGAATAAGATCCCTTTCCACTTCTCAGGGCAATCAAACATGGATTTTGGGAGCCCTTAAAGGAGCACCCTCAATCTAAAACAGGCAAACACAATTAATGGGATAAAAAACGAACTCGAACCGGAGAGTCGCGCACTCTAATTTACTTTATTTTTGGACACGAATAGCGGACCGGTCTAAGTGCGTGGTCTCAGCGAGCGGAAACGGATACTCATGCAACCGAAAGCGGAAATGTTACACCGACGACAACGAATGAGAGGGTGTTTGTTAGGGTGTCTGTGTGTGAGGGTGAGTGTGTTAGTGCCGGGCAAAAAAGGACCAAAATAACACCCACGAAAGCGGATCCACAGACAGGGTCGAGCCGTGTCGAGCTGAGCATTTCTAGCATTAAATTTATGTACATGTCATTGGGGGCGTATACGTAACGTGCCTTAAGGGCATCACGGTATTTTTGGCCGGCATTTTCCTGTGCGACCATAAAGTGTTGCGAATTCCTTACCTGTATATCTCGGCACAATTTGATGGCTGGGCTTAAAAAAATATTTGCTACCGCGCCGCGCCTTAAATCCACACAAATTAAGCCCTAAATTAGAAAGCCATCACTTGAAGTAATTGCCGGGCCGATTTTTATGCTTTATTTTGTTGGCTTTTATCTTTGCAGTCGCAGCATTAGAGGACGTGCCCGGCATGCCAACATGATGTAGTAGACGAGAAGTCCTCAGCAAGGACAGCTCAACGAGACTCAGACTCAGGCTGTTGCTCTGGTGATGCCCCATTTCTATTGCCATCGACTTGTTTGCGCCTCCGGTAGGTGTTTAAAATTTCATTTTTATCCCTCCATTTTTATTTACCATTTAATGTGTTTCCTTGTCCTTTCTTTTGGTTGGTCCTGGGAAAACCCAAAACACTGCCCACATGAAACTTTAATTTATTTTTGCATAATTTTTGCAGGTGTGTGTGTGAGTTGGGAAAATGTTCATTAAACACCCGCAGGAATCTGTCTGTTCTGCTGCTAAATGTTTTTGTTTTAAATTGAGGTAGCAACCGCCGCTGGGTTGCGATGGTCTGGTCCCCGAGATTCCGAGTCCCGAGTCCCTGTCCGCTGGGATGTGAGTGTGGGATGGGATGTGACTGTGGGATGACAGTGACATCAATTATGCATAATTTTGATGGCAGACCCGGGACGAAAACTGCCAGCCAACAATAACAACTTTATTAATCATGCATAACGCTAGCCTAGGCAGATAATAAACGGCAGAATTGTCGTTATTATAATGATTGCCGGCAATGGACAGGAAAATGGGTAGTCCGATGGAATTATCTCATTAGAAGGGAGAAATTAAAGGATCAACATTAATCCATCGAAAAGTTAGTTTACTCTTCCCTACTAAATGGCAGTACTGTTTTTGATGATTCAACACTGAATGAAATTGAAATAAAACTACATTAGAATTTTCATACATTAAACTCATAATAATATTTGCAATTGTAATCATTTTAGTTCTCATATTCTAACCTTAAGTTTTCTTCAATTTCAAGACTACTTCTCACATTTAAAAAAAGCTCCAATGTAAAAAATAAAACAACAGCTAATTTAGTCTTCAAAATATATTGAAATCAGATTTAATAGTTGGGAAGGAGAATTTTAGTTAATTTTGATCAAGAAAGGTTTTAAGAAACAATGTTATTCGTCTAAAGTCTGTAAAACCATCATCCTTAAATCGCTTTAGATGTTTTTTTTTGGTCATTTAATGTTTTCTAACCTACGTCATTAAAACAACACCTAAACTTCGGTTGCTCTATGGGCTTTTGCGTTGTGTTTATTATTATTTCCAACCGCCACGCCCACAAACAGACCATAACATGCACCACAAGAACGCCCCCAAGTGGCACATCATCCCTCATACTACCCAGTATGATAATATATATTTTTTCAGCTCGGTCTGACCGCAGCTTTAATGCCTTTTTCATTGTCTTTTCATCGTCATGGCCATTGTCGGGCCCATGTCCCTGGTCACGCCCCCGGTGGTTGGGCCCCTTTGCATACTTGGAACTAGGGGAGTTGGTTGTCTGGGGGTATCTGGGGGTGTCTCAGAGTTCCAGGGACTACTCTACTCCACCGGAGACTGAGTGGCTCAGGCAAATTGACGTCATGTCATCAATCAATCTTGCTGCAGAGCTGCGAACCGCACGCCAACGCATCATCACAGTTTGCCTTTTCCTTTCTCATACTTTCTTCTACTTTCCCCTACTTTTCCCTGACAAGCTGTGAATTTTTTATTTTTCCGCCTCACACTCTCTCAGCTAAATCCAAGTTTAGTCCTGCAATTTCAATTTACTTTTGAATTCTTGTTTTCACTTGGAGAATTTTCATTATGCAATGCTCTTTGGGATGGATGGCTTTTAACTGCAGGCCGCCAGTGCGGTTTGATTTATGTTTTTTTAATGAGCCCCCGCTGCTGCTTAGCTATTGTGTCTGACCAAGCGTGAAAACGAGGCAAATTCTAGACCTTCAAGTGGTCTTTTTTAGCGAGGATAGTGGGCAAAAGGGTTCAAGGCCATAGCATTGACCTTTTACAACACAATAAATATTCAAAGAGCGTCCTGTGCGAGTAACAAAAATAAGAAATGAGAAATAGCAAACGGAATGGCGTCGGGGTGCTGTTAAATTTTAATTGCGTCGCAGGACACGGCCCTCATGGCGTATACGTAATGCATGTGACCAGGAGAAATTGTCGCTGCTAATTTGCCATTTAACATGGCCCCCTTTTTACTCCACCCACCGCCCTGAATGTGTTTGTGTGTGTTTTGTTGGGCTGTTTTATTGCTCGGTTATTTTAATTAAAAACTTTGCTCAGCTGACAGTAGCAATTGCTGTCTCCCCCGTGCCTCTTAACCCATTTTGTCGGCCTGCCTGCCTCAGCATCTTAACTTTCCACCGGCTTCACCCGAAGTTTCCTGCGCATTTTGGCCGCCTCGAGGAGCGTGTGGCATCCAGACAACAATGCTGTCGGCACAAGAGCTACTTTGTGCCAGTATCCCCTTTGTCTTGGCCCCAGTTCCACCCACGCCTTAGCCTCTTTTGCTATTTTTACGCCGCTAAGCCGCCATTAAAGCCATATGCAAAATATGGCCACGTTAAGATGTGCAAATGTCTGGTATGGGATGGGATGGTATGGGATGGTATGCCATGGGTGGCACAATCTTGCGCCTTTTTTTATTTGCTCACTGCTCTTATGTCACCTTGTTGATGATGTTGGCGACATTCGAAAAACAAAAGCGCAAAGCGGCGTTCCTAATCCCGCTTAACGTTCTGTTGACGTCGCCGTGGCAACCGAATGCCATCAGGCATTTCGTCACATAAAAATACACGGCCAATATATATGGAATACAGAATAATAAAAAATGTATGTGAGGTCGGGCCAGCAAAAAAAGGGTCCTTAACGAAAATAAATCATAAAAAGATGGGGAATGAAATGCAGATTACTTGTGAACGAACCAAGCCCAGCTTTAAGTGGAATTTCGCAGCCAATCGGCTAATGGTTTGTCGCAGAAATGGTCAAGGAAATTCTGTCAAGGGAATTACACTTGAATCGAATTTCATCTATATTAATTAATTTAAATGCAAATAGATGATCCCTCATTACATTAATATAAAGTTTATATTGGTTGCATCATAGTACATTTAAACGAACTTTAGGCTAGTAACCCAAGTTGTTATATTAAACAAGGAAGAACGCTATAGTCGAGTACCTCGACTATCAGATACCCGTTACTCAGCTAAATAGGGATATGCAAGTAGCAAAGCGAGATTAAAATGCGCCACCTACCGGCGGTATACAGATTTAAGCGTTATGGGCGTTAGAGTGGGCGTGGCAAATTTTTTTTTGGACCAATCGATAGGTATTGACAAGACCAATACATTTCAGTTAAATTTGTTTATCTAGCATGAAAATTGTGGGCGTCACAGGTTTTCGCGGTTTGTGGGCGGTAAAGTGGGCGTGGCAAACTTTTTTTTGGGTCAATCGATAGGTATTGATGGGAACAATACATTTCAGTTAAAATTTTCTATCTAGCATCAAAACTGTATGAGCCACAGTTTTGGGCGGTTTGTGGGCGTTAGAGTGGGCGTGGCACTCTACTGAAACAAACTTGCGCTGCGCAGGAATCTCAGGAATCTGCGTGCCTAATCCCAGTATTGTAACTCTCATAGTTTCCGAGATCTCAGCGTTCATACGGACAGACGGACAGACGGACAGACGGACAGACGGACATGGCTAGATCGACTCGGCTTGTGATCCTGATCAAGAATATATATACTTTATGGGGTCGGAAACGCTTCCTTCTGCCTGTTACATACTTTCCGACGAATCTAGTATACCCTTTTACTCTACGAGTAACGGGTATAAAAATCTGTAGTTCTTAGTTAAAGAATACAACATTAAACTTTATAATATACGACAACTGAGAACAAAGCGCAATAACATACAAAAACATGCCATTCATAAGTTCTTGTATATGTGGGCAAATTGCATTAAAAAGTTGGCTAGGTGTAATTAATTAATTTAAAGAGTTTCCCACACGAAAATGTAAAATAAACATTGTTTTGAAACCAGTTTCCAACTTAAAACAAGCTGGAATTTTCCCAGGCGGAATGGACCCGACCTTAACGAAAATTCCGCTCTGTTTGCGAAAAATACCATCCTGTACTTTGGCGGAGCAACTGGCCCCAACACGTTTTAATTACGGAGCATTTAAGCAAACAAAAGCGTGAATATGCAGTACAAAAATACATTTTCATTGCCCCATACAACGTGTGCATTGCGCATACGCCGCGTTCGCCGGCGAAGTCCGTAAATAAGCTGCGGCGCCCTTAATTGCAGACTTTGTAATGGGGGGTGAGAAAGTACGGGGGTTGTAATACAAAGCGCAATGAAAGCAAACAATAAACCCGGTCGGCATAAAGGCCAATGGAGAAAAAATACAGAAAAGAACAGAAGCTGAAAAGCAATTTTTATGATGGTCCTTGCTAACCCAGTAAAAATGAACTTAAAGCCGGGCCAACGAGTTGGAAACATTGAACGTCTGGCAGAACCATAACCCATCTTCGTCGCATCCCCACAGTCTGTCATCCACCCCTTCGATACCCATCCCCAAACCCCATCCCCCCGAAAGGATGTTGTGCATTGAGCCGTTTTGGATTTACTTGTAATTTGCAACAATGTTGAGCTCTAGAAGCTCAATCTGCTGGCGCTGTTGCAACGTCTTCGTTTGTTCGCTGGCCCCCTGCTTTTGTTGTTCGCTGTTTGACATGTCAAAGCCAAACAAAGCGCCCCCAGACACTCACATACGCATTATTATGGAGTACAGGGACTGGGGATCAGGATCCCCCTATCCAAGACATTAGCACTCCCCGTGGCTTTGATTGGCGTCAAAAAACGCATCAAACAACGGCAAGGCAAGGTGACTTTCAAGTTCAGCGAACACCGTTAAGATATAGGGAATTTTAAAACCAGGAGAGGGAGAAGTTGTGGGGTCACAGGGTCACCAAACCCTTAACGACCTGTTATTTTAAAATACAATTAAACAGGGTTACCGAAAATGTTTTAGTGGGTCGTAAAGCTGTAAGCGTAAAGAAAACCAAATCAAAATTTAAAAAAAGAACATTATTCTATACTTACATCATATAAAATCAAAAAACAAATTATATTTTTAAATCTATAATAATTAAACTAGTAATCGAAGTTTTATAGAGACCAATTTAAATATACCAGATTATTAAATGGGTAGGTTAGAATTTAAGTCAA